ACACTGAGGGGTTTTTCTCACCAAATATTGAAATGCTGTATGTAGTATGTTATTAATTTTAATAAAACTGTTAATCAATTGACAGCCTTGAATTTTTTCAGAGCTTTACACAATGCCTTATGGCAGTGGTTCCCAAACCTGTCCTGGAGGCCCCCCTGCCCTGCACCTTTTGTATGTCTCCCTTATCTAACACACCTGATTCCACTCATCAGCTCATTAGTAGAGACTGCAAGAACTAAACTGGGTGTGTCTGATTAGGGAGACATACAAAATGTGCAGGGCAGGGGGTCCTCCAGGACAGGTTTGGGAACCACTGCCTTATGGGATTGCCTTCCCCACAAGGGATACACCCAAAATGGTGGTATATTAACAGGCAGCGTAATTATGCTTTCTTCTTTTTGGAACAGCTGGGCGGCTATGATTTCTTAAAATGCTGCCTACAGAGACAAATCAATAGGTTTTGGAACAAGACTTTTGGGAAAAAGAGAGAGAGAGAATTTAGAAAGAGAGATGGTTCATGCAAAGGTTACGCAATTAGAATTAAACTTTAGAGGAATTAAAAGGGTCTTAAGCAAATTAAATGAAGGAAGGGATAGAGCTGGCGGATTATAAAGGAAGAGGCAGAGAAAGAGATGGCGGCTGATTTAGAGAGATGAAAAGTCACTTGTCGGGTCAGACTGATTCTCTCATTACCTCTGTTTCTCATAAATGGATGAGAGATAGAAACGCAGGAGCGGGGAGAAAAATCAATTCTGTCATCCTCTTTCTTCTGCCTTTTTATAGATGCAGGAATAAGATACTCTTGTTGTGGGATTCATCTTTTGGCTCTTTCTCCCCTACTCTGATGCACTGTAACTCCCTCCTTTCATTTCTCTTTTCTCCTCTCAGCCTTGCACTTTTATTTCACTGGTGTGCAGTGGCTCATCACTCTCTTGCTGGCAGGGATTTTAATGAGGCTCTTGTGTTTCAGATATTCAGCCTCCTCAGCCCTCAAGCTTTCCCACACAACAAAACAACTCTGGGGCGATTTCACTAAACCGTTGTGGCTCTTTTGAATGTGGTACACTAAGTGTTCGCAATCCAATTTGAAATGGGAACTAAATGCACTGATTATTTAAATGAAGCATTTTTGTCAAAGCAAACATGGCTACTTATAGATGTGCTTGAAGAAAGTTTTGTTTATGATGTGCTGACCGATACTTCAGTTGCCACTATACTGACACCTGGTGGAGTGGATGCAACATTGTGCACACGCAAAGCAAACAATGCAGTTCTTTGCGTGAATTTTCACCTCTGTCTTTTTCCCAGAGAGCACAGCATTACTCTCCTTTTCATCCATCCATCCATCCCTCCACAGCTGGATTTGCAGTCCAGATGTTGCTGACCCACATACAGGAGAGGAACAGCTGTCTACAGGATGAAGTGGGAAGGCTGTCCTGGATTTTAACAGTCAGAACAACCACTAACACATGTGGGACACTGTGGAGCGAGAGAGGATTACCCCTCAAGCTCAAACATCCAGAGGAAGAAACAAGAGAGACTGCACAGAACAAGAAAAGGAGAAATTCTGTTTGAGGTTGTGAGGGAGTGTGTGTGCTAGCGTGCTTCGGCATATCCGACTTTCTGGTATCTGCTGTCATCAGGGGTTTTCAAGAGCACTTGTCCCATTTCTATGTCATAAATAAGCTCTGTTAGTAATTTCGTTTTTTGTGAACTTTTGTATTTGCAGGCTTTTCCAGATGAACATTTTATTGCTCAGAGGTTGCCCGTTCATTGCACAGGAGGCTTAAAGTCAAGGCGAAATCAGATATGATCCCATTTACTTTTTTTCATGCTCTTGCCTATTATTATAGTGAATGATTTATCGGTGTACATTATTCCATAAAGGAAAGACTTTTATAATAGATTTCTATTTTTTATACATTAATAAATGCTGTTCTTTGAACAGGCTAATCTAAGAAACCTGAAAAGTATCATGGTTTCCAAAAAATATTAAGCAGCACAACCGTTTGACATTGATAGTAATAAGAAATATTTCTTGAGCATCAAATCAGGATATTAGAATGATTGACATGAGACACTTTGCCAACACAGGTATTAGTTACAATTTAAAATATATTAATCAAATATTTAGAATACAGATATATTGAATAGAATAGATATATTGAATTTCCCAATATTGCTGTTTTTACTATTTTTGAGCAAATAAATGCAACTTTGGTAAGCGTAAGAGTCTTCTTTCAAAAACATTAAAAAATCTTACCGACCCCAAAATTTAAAATGATATATGTGATAATAGAATTGAGAATGGCATAAAAGTTCTTATTTAAACCTCTGACTTCTGAGTGCAGGTTTGCTGAGTGTGATTTTGGCTAATCTAAGCGTAGTATGAGAGCTTGCTGAAAACCCTAGAGAAGACTATTAGGGTGTTTTTTGCAAGAGAAAATTATAAGAAGCAGGATATTTAACCTCCTTTCAAAGGAGAAACACAATATTTAAAAGATCTCACTGGTGATTTTCCCTCTGGGATTAGCCAAGAGACAGTTATGTGAGAAAATGTAAGTGGAGGAAGTCATTTCATTCTTTATATATTGCCCTCATCTTCCTCCAGATGTCTTTTGTTCCACTTCTTCTTTATTGGGGGGGGGGGCTCGGTTCAGCCTTTTTTTATAAAGTCTAATGAGTGAAGACTGCTATAAACTAGCATGACATGTCTCAGTGTGAGTGATGACATTCAAGCCCTGGGGAATGGCACACCTTCCAGTATATCAGCAATGTGTCTGTTACGCAGAGAGAGACATGTCGCTTGACAATGCACTGCTACCCAGTTGGAGTTTTTTCAGGTGCAGATGCAGATGATGACACAGTTACTTAGTCCTGTAGTTTCAGTTTTTTATCGCCTGTCAGTTTTCTGGTTCCTATAGAAGGCAACTTAGAACACAAATGCTATAGAAATCCAGCAAATATCCAAAGGGCTGGTTAAGGCACATAATCAGATGGCATAATGAAAACAACATGCACGGCACAGAGCCATTTGCGTGTCTGCTGGTCAGTCCAACACCAACACTCGGCGGTGATGCTCTTTCATCACCACTGGGCCTGCTGCCAGTGTAGGCTGCTCCTGCGCTGCATTCTTGCCATTGTTGTTATTTTTTCTTTTCTATCAGCCCTCCCCACACACACTCCCTCGTTGGCCTCGTTGTGATCCCTGTGCTAAATCATTTGCTGTAGCTTCAACCCTAAATGGCTAAGTCTGGAGATCAGCCTCAAGCTATAAGTATGAAGCGTTTGGGACATATAATCACAGGACTCAGCCGAGGTTAAAGACTTTGAACCTTGGAGCCTAATGAAGGGAGGACAATACCAATGGTATTATTTTGATGGTATCCTATGATGGCCTTTTGATTTTGCAATGAAAAACACGTACAAACTTGTGTATCAATAATTGCAATTAGGGCGGTGCAATTTTGGTGAAAAATTTTGATTTTTCTGATTAAAAATTACAAAAATGGGAAGATGATTGGTGCATGTTGTGTTCCCAAATGCACATTACAGAAACCCCAAATACAGAGCAGATGGAGTTTGTGTGGAGCAGCATGTATTGTGAACCAAGCCTCGCTGAGAAACTGAAAACTCATGAGGTTCATGAGCTGCTGATGTGCAAGTGAACACAGTGCCATGCTTCACTCTGAAATAAATGTAATTATATTGCAGTCCAAATTTAAGTCATATTGCGATTTATTTTGATTAATTGTGCAGCCCTCATTGCAATGCAAAATAGTTAACTTCAATATATTTGTAATGACTTACTTAAAGGGATAATTCACCCAGAAATGAATATTCTGTCTTCATTTACTCTCCCTCGTGTCTTTTCCAACCTGGCTTTCTTTCCTTTGTGGAACATAAAACAATATATTTTGAAGAACTGCTTTTTTTTTTGTTTTTTTTGCTGTTTTTATTGCAGACCCACCTCTAGCCACACCATGGAGTAATCTGAACTTGATCTGTGTTTTTTCATAAAACAATGACTCCTCCCCCAGATCATGTAGCTAAACAATTGTTTTAAATGAGGTTTTCCTCATCTGAGAGTACATGCACTCAGCATGGGGTAGGAAAATCAAATCAGACAGACTGCTATCATCCGTAAATGTGCAAAAATTAGCGTCCCTGAAAGTGATACAGTTTGGAGGATGTTCTTTTTCTCAATGCTTATGTAAGGTAATTTAGCTTAAACTCAAACCGGGCTTTTGCCTCTATCACATACTGTCAGATAATCTTTCTTCATTGAGCTCATACCACTCCCTGTGCGTTTGAGATCAATGTGCCTGGTGCTCAGTGCTGGATTCTTTCATAAATCTTATAGAGTCTTGTTTGTGTGTACTGATCCTCCTCCAGTGTTTTTACCATGGTGCAATGTGCGGCCTCGTATCACTGCCCATCTTGCAGTAATTGTGGGTGGCTCTGTTATTAATTTGCGCAGGGAGCTAACTGTGATCTCAAAACATCATGAGAGAACGGCTGTTTTTCTGCCTTACATTTGGACCAATTAATTTGTACATTTCCTTTTGCAGCATTATTATAGACGTTTATGTATTTTTATCACAGCACTTTTTGTGCCCAGGAAGTGAGAATGAGTCAGCTCAGAGGGGTACTATTAATTCACTAATGGATATGTTCATACACACATATACGAACACACGTTTGCACACAAACACACTAGCTCTAATTATCCATGTAATATCAGGGGAGACATTAGAGTTCACTGAGCCCTGATGGGTGTAACACCAGAGCAAGAGAGTTCAAACACACTTTGTTATGATTTGGAAGAAGCCTGTGGTTTTTAATTAGCTGAAATTTCATGTTCACGATGCCGTGACGGCATCTAATCATTTGACCCCTGGCCTCATATCTAAAACTCCTTCTTGCCATTTGAACTTGTAACCTACTCTAAAATGTTTTCAGGTCACCTCATTGGCCCTCATATCATTTTTTGCCAACAGGTCTGACCTGGGGCCTCGGCGTTGTCACTGCGCACACAGAGACGTATCATCATGGGAAAACAGAACAGCAAACTCAGGCCCGAGATGCTAATGGACCTGAGGGAGAACACGGAGTTCACTGACCACGAGCTGCAGGAGTGGTACAAGGTGGGAACATCTTGAGACATGCACAGGTGCCGTGAATCTGGGGACTTAAGCCACACAAACTTTTTGAATTTTATTGCATTGCAAGCAAAATATCAAATCAAGTGGCATCAACAAATTATGCTAGATCTTTTCTCAGAATTAATTACTTTACTGAGACATTTTGCATGTACTTTTTGTTTTCATTTTGAAAGTGTGTTTGTGTTAATTTAAAAGTATTAAATATATATATATATATATATATATAT